TGAAGCGTTTCTTGCAATCCTTGGATGTGAGTATCCGGGATGTGGGCCCGCTCTTTGACATCCTCGACGATGGAGCCTCGATCGCAGCGGTGGCGCGTTGTTGCTTTGTTTTCTTTTTTTGTTATCCTCCTGGTGGTCCGACACACGAAATCAAGCACAAGGGATCCAAGAGAAACATGGTGAGGCATGATCAGAATAACCATCATAGCGTCACATATGACGAATGTTTTCACCCCAATGCCATCCAATGCCCAGGTCCTTTTGGGGGGACCATTCATGTTAACCCATCCCTCATAACCGTCCACGTCACCGGGAAAAGGTCAAGCGAGGGTCGAAAATGCATGCGCAAGATCCTGCACCAAAAAGAGAAAAGAGGAACACTAGGGGTACACCAAGATATATAGATCATTATAGATCAAAAAAGCAGGACAAAGTCATGTCCATACCGAATTCCCATGGTTCAGAACCGTCGCTGATCTCCTTGGTTGAAAAGGCACCATCTTCGACTTCAGGGCCTTTGGTGGTGAACGCGAGTGAGTCGGTCAAAGCAGACCCCTCTGAGGTGATGGTGCTATCAACGCCACGGAATTCTGTGATGGCCTGCTGCGCTTGAAGGGACAAGCCAGAGCCATCGATATGGCGCCATGGCCCTCCGTTTTGGGGTGGGGAGAAGCAGAGGATGCAGAGGTCGCCCTTGGAAAAGGGCCAAGTTGACGTCCCTTCCAATACCACACGGGAGTTGAAGAGGCTATCAATAGGAGTCCCTCAGGGGGCCCTGGTACATGTTTTCAGATTTTTCGTGATGTCTAGAGAATGTGACGATTGGTGGCCCTTGGGGCGTCCACGAAACCCTTTCCATGTGATGTCAAGGATCTTGAACTAGAATTTCTAGAACAAGGATGGGTCAATCATGAGCAAACCGCCATAAAGGTATTACGGTAAACTATGAGAGTCCTGATTGACCCAAACCCAGAACCGCGAAATCATCAGTCAGTCACCTGCCCGTTTACGGGTCAAGGGTGAATGATGAGATTTGGGCCGGCCATCCGGAGCTCCTCTCATCACGGCAGCACGCATGTGATGAGAGGTGGGTTCAGGGGTGAACGATGCGTGTTTTGGGCACCTTGCTCAACCGACTTAAGGCTGATTGGATATGTCTACAGTAGAATCATCCTCGCCTCAAAGCACCACCCATATGTTCACGCGGCATCAAGGTGAGTGGGAATCAAGCACAGCTACTGCTATGCTTGAGGACGTGCCCATCCCGAAAACTCTGAAAACCGGTCAAAGGTTGCATTTGTGGCCAGCACTATGACTCTACTGGTAGTGGCTAACTATAGTGACTAGACATAGAACACGGGATAGGTCCAGACCTACTGCGCCTTGCAAAAGCAATGTTTCCCCAAACCAACCCTCCAAAACAAAACATATCTAAGGAAGATGCAACTATGACACCAAGATACACCAAATTGTACGTATGATGTTACATATTGTTGTATTGCAGGTTCGTTGCTGATGATCAATATGGCTTCTCCGTAATTGCCAGATCCTGGCAGACATCTCCATCCTTTGAGAGTTTTTGTGGGATGCCACGTTTCACCTCGCCTTGTCTAGAGTGTTCAGACATGCGGACCCGTTTGACCAAGCTCGTTGGTGGTTCACTTCCCGGAGACAGCCGACGCACCATCCGCTCGGTGTCGGAACCGTCGGGACCTGAGATGGCTCGGTGTCCGGACCTCGTTTTCGCTGCTGAACCGCAGGTGGTGTTGCAGCACGAGAATGCCAAGCTGCTGAAGGTTCGGGGCGGAGCCGAAACAGCTTGCCTGGTCGAGCCAAGCTGGCGAAAACGCGACCGTGGTTGACGGTTCGAGAGCAAGGTGAAAGGAAAGAAAGTCCCATGAGGTCGCGTCATTTTCAGGCAGAAACCATGAAACCATCCTGGTATTGGTACCCGTGGCCGGTGATTCTGAGGGGCTTCCAGGACTGGACATGATCAGGATCAGTAACGAAGCATCGTTGGTGAGCGGGTTGGCCCTTCGATCAACTGAGAACATCCATAATTGGCTTCAGCATGCCTGAACTGGTGCCAGGACGTAGGTCAATCAAGTTGACTGCTGAAGATGTTGGATCAGCTAGGTAGGGTAGTATAGTATAGGGGGGGCGTTTATTGAATCAACTTTCCATATTTGTGCCAAAGTTGCTCTATGGAGGGCATGTGTTCTGATCAATCCAGAGCCTGCGCCCTCAGTGCAGCGGAATTTGGGGACACTAAATGGAGACACTATAATCCCTAAAGCTCCAACCACCTCAGAACGTAGTTGGACCCCCCTGGCATCCACCCCAAACACTGAACCTCAGGAGGCACCTGGGGGAGCAAGCTCCATGAGACGAATGAGACGATTCTGAGATCCCCGTGATCCACGGACTGATCCAAACAGCTAAAGAATTGGTCACAGTGTTTGGCCTGCAACCAGGCCCCATCATCCACTGGTCATGGGATAGACCTATAATGGAATTGTCCAATATATATGGTACATCTAAGATATCCTAATCACCTTCCGGGGCAGTTGCAGCCAAGAACGGGCGCCTGGTTTCCTGTTGTCCTCTCATTAGGTCCATACACAACCCTTTCTCTTTCTGCAACGGCTATAAGATCTATAGTGCTTGTCCTTTTGCAAGCGCCAGTGACTGTCAAAGTTTATGACTATAACTACGGGGCACATCAGCTACCCTGACCATTGCAACAACCTGATGCCGGACAACTAAGGGGTTTGCATATATGTTTGCTTAAGTGTTGCATTCAACAAGTTCTTCTAAAATGGGTGCCCGTTTTCCCTCTCCTCTGCCAGGGTGTCATGCTTCCAGGGCTTCTTCTAACACAGTCGCTTGTTTTGGGTCCAAGCGGTCGCTCCGCCAGGAAGTCCAGGACACACGTCGTGGACTGAAAAGCCTGTTGCGTTCCTGGCGGAAGCAAAAGGAACAGAAAAGCAAAGGAACAGGTCACCAAAGTGATGACCAGGGAGAAACCCTCCAAGTTTAGACACGTAAATCATAAATCGGACCATTCTTTTGCCTTGCCTGGCACCGAACATGATGAAGGCACAGCTAAACATAAACATATAGTACTCCAGAAGATGGAACCATGCCTGTGCTTACTTGGTGCCCGGATCAGATACAAAGGGTTGTTGGGCACAGGCTGGGCAAGTGTCCGACACTTTTGCCATAGACCTATAGTACCGTTGGATCGTTGAACGATCGCCGAAGATGTTTCAATTGGCCGCCGTTCATCCCACAGAAGGTACAGTGGCGAAATGCCAAACATCATGCTCACTTCTTGAGAAGGGGCTCACAAGTTTTCATCCGAACGTGCATTTAGGGAAACAGTCGCATGTTTTGCGTATCTTGTCATTTGACTCGTTTGACTCAACCTGTCCACATAGATGGGTTTGTACACACTGGTGTTGTGCAGCCGATGTCCGAATGCATTTGCACATCAAACACTGACGTGGGGCACCTTCCAACAAGAGGCATATGTGAGACACCCCATGAACCACACTGCCACAATCTGCCACACTCGTCCAACAAGTAAGTTTGGGTTGTCTCAAGGCACAAAAGCAACCGCCATGTTTGTGCTCCTTTTCAACCAACCGCCACGGTCCTGATTCGGGCTTCCAACTCCTTGGCCCGGGGGGTAGAGGACGCTACTAGGGGCTCCTGGCCTTACTACTAGGAACAAGAAGCTATTAGAAACAAGAATTAGAAATAGAACTTCCAACTCCTTGGCCGGAACACGCCCAACATGCTGGAGGGAGACTTCATCGACTCCAGACCTTTTTATGCGAAGTGGACCACCTTGGACAAGCTCCGGGGGGGTGAGGGGGAGTGATGGTTTGGCGGTGGACGTGCCAATTGCTTTCCTTTTCTCGTCGATATGGCAAAGCCATTTCGGCAGTAAGATGTCCAGGATATGAGCAAATTCTTTATGCATGCGAGCTGCACCAGCAGAAGTCAGAAGGATTGGAACAACGTGTCATCACTGGAATTCCTTGTCATCGCTGCTAATGTAGAAAGCGCATTTGGACTGTAAAACCTCTTCATGCGTTTGCTTGACCAAGAAAAACAGTCTTTGACTGCATAGGATTGACATAACACGTTGCAAATTCAACTTTTCGACTAAATCTTTGAAGACATTTAGGACGGCTGTATTCCAACATTAGGTTCTTTTCCACTGTTTACTTGAAAAACCGGTGATACCTGGAGGGGTTCGGGGTGGCCTTGGGAACCATTTGGCTATATTGTCACTCTCAAGATGCCAATTGTCCGGACCTCACTTCCGTGTTGATTTGCGTGTTGTTGACCTGATGGAGGACTGACACTGGCTTGCAGCCGGACATGTGCGTATAGCTCTGTCCGTTCAACACGTATACTGCTTGCTTAGCAGCAAGAAAGGTAGTTGAAGTCGCGTCTCTCGGCTCGTGCAGCCGGGTCTGCAACGGTTGGTATCCAAACACCAAGTGTAGGCACCGGTCCGGTGTCCCCGTCATAGATGGAAGATCATAGGGATCCACGTAGAAGCTGTATTGGGAACGGTGCCACTATCTATTTGGGGATCACTGTGTACATTGATCCCCTGTTCAACTATCCCAACTGATCGGTGAACGTTATATACCAGTCCCATCGAGCTTCTGGGTTTGGAATTTGAGCCAGTAAGTGGCTGGTGCATCGGCAAACAATTTCCCTAGCAAGGGTGGGCAACCGAGTTTGGGTTGACGGTTGTTCTCAATAATTATAGGCACGGGTAAGTTTCCAGCAAGATGAATGTTTGTGGGGGTTCATTCTTCCATTCCCTACTGTACTACTGCTTGCTCCAGAATCAGCTGGGTGCACTCGAAACGCAACTGCAAAAAACGTTACCCAGCAGTGGTGGATTCTTGGCTTCCACTTCCCCCAACGTCCAGACTCCCTCTCTTCAGACGGCCAAGACGACTTTCCGCCAACAGGACATGGTTGGGGGACCCTTCATGGGTCCCTTCAAGTGGCTACGGGGAGCCGAATCTCCACTGGACAAGTGCTTGCATCTGGGACGAGACCTGATGATCACAGACCTGGTTTTGCTTACTGATTCTGATGTGATTGTTTTTCAATGGTCATCTTGAGACCACCCGTGGTTTGTCACAAACCAGTCCTGTGGTTGAAAGCGACGAGCAAACCAGTCGAGCGTGGCTTTCGTTCGTCGAATGAGAAACAAATTCATAAGCAGCTCTTGTGGAGCGCAAATCAATTTAACGCAGGCTACATTGGAGTATGTTTTAATTTTTGGTTAGAGCTTTTTATGACAAGCTGTTTGGGATTCGTTGATATCTTAATATGATCAATGGTTGACAATCAAATTTATAACCAGTTCTACCTCACAGAACTCGCAGAATGGTGTCATGTGTTTGCACTCAACTTCTCACCATCCGGAGGATGGAAAATATCGCGTGCCCATCTACAAAGGCTAATCTAGTTCAATGAGATCATGTGCATCTGGCTATTATACTGTGCATGTATACTATCCCTAGGGCTCCTGGTCCATATCCTCAGAAGATGGTTAGATCCCCCTGGCACCCACCCCAACCATCTTCGAAACGGAGGTGGGCCAGGAGCCCTAGGGTATATAGGTGGTTCCAGAAAAATGGCTCCTCTGAGGTACTGCATGCCTTCCAACGCGGACACGGTCCTGTGCATCGACCCTGAGAAGCAAGAGATGAAGACCATCGGTGGGCCATTGGATGGAGACTGGAAGTGGCACGGAGGCAACTTGGGCGATGAGCCTCGGCGATGGCTAGACCGACCCCTCCTCCACCACGTCTGACTTCTAGAACCGCAAGAGGGCCGAAATGACTTCGAGGGATGCATCATATCTGCATGTGTTTGGGGCGCCTTTCCTCACAGAAGTCTTTGGGGAGTTTGGATTGGAAGGCAGATTCCGTTGACGCGGAGTGGAAACTACTTCCGATTCAGACGGCAGAACTGTAAACACTGTAGGCGAATGCAGGTGAAGTTTTGTGAGCATTTTGGTACGTTTCTTCATCTCTCGGGCGTTTGCACGGGTGAGGCCCTCCGGGGCCGCAAATTGCGGACCTAGAACAGAAAACAATAGAACATGGTTGAACAGACCCATTTGACAGGGTGATCATGCTGCGACCTGGGGTCCTGGTCTATCCGTTGGAGACGGGCGCAGAGCCGGTGCTTCAGCCCAGGATGGCAACATCTACGGTATCCCCGCCAATGCCACCCAGGTGGAGCTGGACGACCGAGCATGTGGACAGGGAAGCGTTCCGGAGCAGAGCGGGCGCCCTCGAAAGGACGACCTAGATGGCTAGGACCAGTTCGAGCGCTCCCTATTCTTTGGTCATTGGTTTCGGGATCATATATATTATAAATGTATATATTTGTGACATATACGTATTATAGATACTATAATCTGTGTGTTCGTTCATGTGTGGTCGGATAGAAAACAACGGCGTTGTTCTTCTCAGTGTTCTGGTTGCGAGGCTGCTAACGGGACTAACGCCTACGACTTGGGTCACACATGGAACCAGAGCCGTGAACCCAACTCAACGGTTGCTTTGCTGAGCCTGACTCGACAGGTTTCAGGATTTTCCACCGGATGCGGCACTTCTTCCAGTTCGCTTCGACAAAAACACTGTGGACTTTTTTTCCTGCCCAACCCCACCCAAACTCCACCCCTGGTCCTCCCTTTTGGACGCTCCTTTGACCTTTTCACGTCACACTCACTCTTCCGTCTTGGAACCTCCGTCTCGCATCCCCTCATTCGCCGGTCGCTCCCTGTCCCGCGTTCGCTTTCGCCCTCCGTTCGCCCGCCCCACCATTCGCCTTCACACACCGGTCCCACGTGGATCCTGCGTCGCAGGTCTTGAAGGTGGATCCTCGAACCAAGGAGGTCCAGATGTTCGGAGGACCCTTCGAGCTTCGCAGCAGGTTATGACGGCGGCGGAAGGACGGGTTTGCCAAGGCGAACGATGCAGCTGCACAAGAATACACAGCTTAAAAGGAGCAGCTGCTATGACAGAGGTGTTGGATGTTCGCAACCAGGAGTGGAGTCCAGACAAAGAACAGTACTGTACTGCAATTACGTTGCAGTGTCGCAATATGATTCAATAGTTTATACATGTTTTTACATAGAGAGAGAGGGAACAATATTGCAGGATTTTACTCCGCCATTGCTTTTCCAGGGGATTGGTTTCTTTACAATTAAAGCACCAAACACTTTGAAACATATAGCATTAAACAAATATTTCATTGGAGAGAGCCTGTTTTCAATTTTTGTTTAAACACATCAAAACAAAAGTCCGAAAAAGTCAATCCCAAAAGTCAAAGTCAAAAAAGTCAAATCAGAAAGTTTCAGAAAGTAAAACAAACACGTCAATTTGCACAGATCCGATTTTTTCGACTTTTTTTTGACTTGTTTTGATTTGTTTATTTTTTTTTTATATTTTTTTGTTTTCGATTATTTTTACTTGTTTGAGTGGTTGACTTTTGTTTTGCGTTTTTTTTCCCCGACTTGTTTTGTTTTTATGTTTTTTTTCTTGTGTACTTTTTCGAGCTGTGGTCTATCTCTATGTTTGATTTTTGTTTGACTTTTCAAATTGACATTTTTTGTATTTGACTTTTCCATTTGACTTTTATGTTGACTTTTTGTTAATCAAGGATTCTGGCCTTACCATATGAAAGATTATTTTTAGCAGAGGTTTGCTTAGGACGATTTGTTAGTTGTTTGCACAAACTTTTCCAATCATAACACGAGCTTCCAACCCTCCTATGAGGGTGAACAGTTCCTTCACAGGACTGTGTTTGATTTGGCTCACCAAAGGCTACCAGGGACTGGACGCCTATATCGTCACCCCAGTTTCACAGCTTTCACAGGTTCCAAACCTCCCAATGCAACCCAAGCCAACTCCCCAACTCAAGGAAGGAAGACAAAAGTGGCAGCTTGTCATGACAGAAGTCGTCCTGAAGGCATGGCAGAAGTGGGGCACCGATCCGAATTTCACTAGAGAGAGAGAGAGCGATAGAGAGAGAGAGAGAGAGAAAGAGGGAGGGAGGGAGAGAGGGAGAATGAAAGAGAGAGTTGACCAAGTGGTGGCTACGAGTGTCCATCAGTGGAAACTTTGGGACTGTGCGGGATTTCTGGTTTCGTCTTTAATGGTGTGCCGATGGAACATGTTCGAATCATTGGCTGATATTGGCTGGGAAAGGCATCATCAGACTGGTGATGACGACTGACATGTTCGCGTTGGCGATCTGAGGGCACAGAGCCCCTCAAGAAACATGTTGTCGGTTTAAGAGAGGAATTATGGTTTCCGAGTTTGCATGTTGTGTCAAGCTTGTCAGCTTGTGTCAAGCTTGTTTTGCTTTCGAAGTGGGCGATGTTTGCTCCCAATTTGGCATCCATGTGGTGCCCAACGTAGGTCGTTGTCCAGCTTGTCCCTGTCGGCAACAGTTGGTGAGGTATGGAGGCTTGAAGTCCACCAATGGCTGCATTTATGGCATCCCACAGAATGCTCGTGGAGTGCCTTGATGCATGAGCACATCGAAGCAGGAGCACCCGAGCACAGGAGTTAGCACCAGAGACGGACGAAGAAAAACACACCGAAAATCTCGTCGGGCATGATTTGTTCATTGCATGGACTTCGCAATTTTCAAGCTGAGTGCTCCCCCAAGCCCATCGGGTTTCATTTGGTCCACTATGGTCCACTCATATACCAGACTTCCAGCTTCCAGCGCTATGTATTTTGTATTTCCTGTGTTTGATTTTTGCATGATTATTGACGACTGTAGTGACGACTGTGCCCCAAGCAACTCAAAACAGACCTCGGGGCCCCGTTTGCGCCTTTCACATCCGTTGGCACTGCCCGCGTTTGTTGGCGTACGTACCGTTTGCACGTCGCGCAAGGTGCTGAAGATTGACCCGGCCAGTGGCGAATGCAGGGTGCTGGGGGATCTGGGAGAAGGAGGATGGAAGTACCATGGTGGAGTGCCTTGGAAGTGAAACGGAAGTGAAACTGCTTGGAAACAAACTTGTTTGGCCATTCAGCATGGTGGAGTCCCTTGGAGGTGACACATTGTCTTCTGTGCCTGGAGAAGTGTGTTTGGTTGATGTCGAATTCTCCGCGTGTGCCACATGAACTCCCCTTCGGTTCAGGGGGCAGATGCTTTCGTTGGCAGATGGACAATTTCATCGGTTTTGGTTGCGGGTGTTCCAAGAATGAAAGCACGGTGAAGGGGCTCTTGTGCAGTGTTGTTCAATGGTTTTCTGATTTTTGCTACAGTTGGTGGTTGCGCATATATAGATGGACCCAGGAAATTTTGACCTGCAAATCTTTCAGCTGTGGTTCACAGATTGTACAACATGAATCATATCAATGAACTGACACGTGATCGAAGTGGTTTCGGGGTTCGTCGTGGCATGCTTGAGGAGGCAGACTCTCACATTCCCAACGCGTGAGGCAGCCTGTGGCAAGAATTGGCCACTGAATTTCTGTGCGAACGATGCACCCTTGTCACAGCACCCCTTGGTGGACGGTCCCTGCGCATGCGGATCGTCCTTTTGTCACATTGGGGATTAAGTCAAAGGTGGCCTGATATGTTTCATTGTGATGTTCCAGTCAATTGGTGGCGTGGGGGGTTTTCCATCAGCCATGCTTAATCAGCCTATGAGGTTACTGCTTCAAGACAAGATTGCGCGAAACAACGAGTTTTGGGTGGGCAGACGGGTCAAGGGTCGGATCAGAAAACCACGAATTTCCAAGGTGAGGGGCCAGACATACCTCGCATGAAAGATAGACATCCGTTTTCCGTCGACCCGCTTGCACCAATGACCCGTCACGGTGAGGTTGTGGCGGGTGATGGATCATTGATCTACGGCATTCCTTGCAATGCTGACTCGGTCTTGAAGATCGCCGCTTGGTGGCTTCGGGATGCTTGGGGTTCTTCTTCGATGCAGGAGGGAGTGCCCAGTGGCTTTTTTGGTATGGGTTAGGATGTGGCTTGCTTGCAGCCCAATGATTCTGATTTTTGATTGTACGTGGGACAAGGTAGACTCTTTTAGACCCAAATGGAGAAAGAGCTATATACTGTACGGACTATACGACTGTTGAGCATCGGTGGGGGATGAGCTTTGGGTGTTTACCTCCAAGGACGGGACAATACGAGGCCCCTGAAGTTCAGAACAACACCTGAAATGGTGTTCGTTTATGTCAATAACTTGTGAATTCATACACAAGGATTCCTGGCCCACCATTGATTTATATAACTTGTTTGACTAAGGATTTTAGGCTACAGCACCAGGTCAACCTTTCTGTTAATGGTTCTGTGTAGAGGCAGAATGTTGACAATCGGACCTCGATTTCTTTAGAGTTTGTTTTTCCTCATCCAGCTTCCAGGCATTTCAGACAGGCTATCCATTTTGTTGTGTGGATGTTTTTTGCTTGTAACAGATTGAGGGTTTGGGGTGTTTCTCTCGGGCAGCATTCATGAACAAACATTGACAAATCACTCGAAGTCATGAAGTACCAGGTTTCTTTCGATGGATTCAGGACACCAAAACCGACACCATCACCCAAATCGGCCGCGGCGTTGTGCAGAGCGGCCGACATCGCGACGATGTGGCTTGGCATGTTTGATGCCCCTTCCGACCGACGTACACGAGCAAAATTAAAACAGGGCGGCCAGCGTTTCAGACATTTAGGGTTCATGCCGTTGTCAAAGACCAGCAGAAGAGGGTGACCTGACTTGTGAGGTTGTGGTGGGTGCTTTGGAGATATATGATGGATAAATGCTGCACAATATGTTTGGTTCGTTGTTCCATTGTTGTCCCGAAGAGTGTGTCCCTGAGTCACAAGGAGCCCATATCAAGTTGTTCAAACAAAGTGGTACGAAGCAACTCATGGCTATGTGAGACTTGGAGGAAGATCATGCAAAGCTAGAGGCAAACACATGCCAGAACCATCCAGAACCCTAGGTCGGTGCATCCAGTGAAAATACAGGGTCATCAAAACAGTTCTTAACTCCTTCAGTAGGCCTTCACGGACTCAAGATCTTCATGCTTCATGAGTCCTGCTCCACCGTCCGCAGCGAAAACCAAGGACAAGTACAAATACCTGGGTGGAGGAGTTGCTGCCGACGGCCCCACGGTCCCGTTCGGGGCGATGGGAAGTCAGGGCGGGATGAGAAGTAGACCGTCCGACATCGTCCGACGGGATTGTTCGGATGAGGCGATGAGATGGACCGGCAGCAAGGGGTGTTATATCATGTGCCTGGTTTATGGATCAAGGGTCGAATTTGAGCCAGACATTCTTACCCCACACCCACTCTCCACTCCGAAGGAGGGGATAAGTGCAAGCACCTTCTCCTTGTGACTTAAGGGTCGGAACTTGAGTGACAACATTGAACCGATTACAACATGACAGTGAGTGAGCTGGTTCAAGCCTGGTTCCCCGCTTCAAACGGGCGGTCGTTTTGGGACCGCTGTTCGGTCCCCTGGCGGATCCGCCGCCCAGGCAAGGTCTATTTCTTCCCCTCGGATGCGGAGCGTGTGTGTTGCGTGGACACCGAGACGGATGAGGTGAAGTTGGTGGGGCCCATCTTTTTGGAAGGAATGAACAAGTGGCAGCGACTCGGCGACGGGAGGCGGTGCATCCAACCGGTTGAGGCGACCGGTCAGGCGACGGAAGGTCAAAAGATTGCAGCATACACCAGCAAGGTAGTATTAGGGGCTTGTATGACAATCAACCCAAATGTGTTTCACACCATGGCTGAGATCTCTTGATGTCAGATACGGCTGGGTTATGCTGGGTTTGGTTCTTTTCCAGATGCAAGGGAAGAACATAAAGATGGATGAGGTCCTTTTCTTAGATATGTTTCCACAATCTCCCTTGAGCGCTTGTGGTCTTAAAGCCAATTCGACACTTGTGAGAGTTGCTTGCTGTGCAGCCCTCCCTTGCACCCCAATCCGGCGAAGCAGGATGTTCGACCGTAGGGTCCCAAGGTCGCGTGCCGGTCCCAGCATTCCCGCACCAGAGCCCAGCTAGCGGGATAAACGAGAACATTGAGTGAGTGGTCGCAAAAATTGTGAATCCCAGACACTCCATGTATGGTATATTTACATACATTGGGGGTCAATGTAGGCATATATATACCATACATGGAGTGTTTGGGAATGAACACTTGAGCCTGGCACAGCCAAGATGATTTCACCAACTCTATTTGGATCTAGTTGGCCTATTTTCACACCGGAATTTTAATTGGTAACTCCCTCATTTGGAGTCTACGTAGAACCTCTTTATATTATATGGGAAATCTTTATGACCCAACAAAGTCACCGCTGAGGAATGGCTTCTCGGCCCGCGATGGAGCACCTGGGCACGCACTTCTCCTCAGAGCTATTGGGGGGTGTAGAAAGCGCAATGGCGGCAGGCAGCTCCAAAGTTCCACCAAAACCGGTTGAACTGTTCCCTCTCAACATGACCCGTTTTATCCTATAAATCCGCCATGTAAATGTCCAAAGATGCTCCGAAACCCTGATTTTCCTCAAGATCCTACAGGACTTGGGCCTTGCCAGCTCGCCAAATGGCCCAACGTTTTGGAGAGGATGGAGAGGGGCGGGTGACCAGGGAGCTGACCAGGGAGTCACATCGAAGGGTTGTGCAGGCCCAGGGTAGATTAAACACAAATTCCCTCTCCAACCAACATGCAACTGGGCGGAGCATTTGGTGTTTGCAGACGATTTCATCATTTGTCCTGGAAATATGCCATCCACTTTTCATGATTGATTCAGGGAGGGTGTCCGAGCTCCCCTCCCTGGAGGAGATTGCAGAGGCCGTAGTTCGGAACACGGCAATCCACAGGCCTGTCTTCATCTATGTTACGTTCCACTGGTTCCGCTTCCATGATTAGTTGAGAGAGGGCCTTGGTGCAACTAGGTACAGCCCTTCAAAAAATCTATGGAGTCCGATCCATGTTGATCCTAGTTCACAGGTCCAGGGTTAGGTCTCCCAGCTCGCTAACCCTAACCTTAACCCTAACCTTTGGACCTTAGGGTTCACAGGTCTTAGGTCTCAGGTTGAATTCCTAGTTCAAATCCAGCTCATCCCTCGCTTGGGCTCCAAGGGTCGGCTCCTCCGATCGACTCCCAGGCCGTCTATGCCATCCCTCAGCGAGCCCAAGGAGTTCTCCGCCACTTGGACGAGAGAGATCGACAGCCGCGCGGAGGGGATGGAAGTGAAGGTCACCCACTTCGGAAGTCCTGAATCCCAGACACTCCAATGGGACTGGCATATTTAGATATATTGGGGTGGTTTCAGGGTCAATGTAGGCATAGATACCATACATGGAGTGTTTGGGAATTGCAGGGTGCAATTCTTACAATCAAGGTTTCATGGTGCGATGAAATGCTTTGCCCATGGGCCTTCATTGGACCAATGTGCTTCTATGTATTCTATGTTTTTCATGGTGGTTGGAACAAAGGGCACGCGGTCAATTCTTAGATATTCTCAGGTTTTCATGGGATCGCTTGCGAGACGAACGGTGGTTCCCAGGCATCAATCCCGCACCCAAAGGCAGCGGCCGTGACGCGGAGGCGCGGTGGGAGGGGAAGGGTGGCGACCGGCGACCCGCCGAAGCGTTCGCAAGCCCAAGGAGAATGATGGATATGGATGAGCATGAATAGGCCCTATCAGGGCAAATCAACTGAATGATCAAACTGAATGCGTGGGATGGGTTGAGTATGGTGTTCTTCTTTTTGGTGGTACTAGTATATAGTAGGTTTTTAGTTACCTTCGTGTTCCAGATTCATTATATGACTAAATCCAAGATGTTGGGTCATGTTGGGTCCTTGATTGGAAACAAGCATACGACGACTAATGTGGGTGAAACGCCCCAGTTCGACACCGAAGAGAACTCGGTCGACGAGTCTACCCATTGGTTGCGGGGTCCACTAAGAAAACAAACACAAACAATCACAAACACATGTTGAAACATAGCATTTCAAGACCAACATTTTGGGACTTGCGCTCCATCCAGTAGTGTCCTCCTCTCCGGTGGGTTGCAGCAACAAGACTGTGGTTATGAAATTTGAGAAGCATTGGTGAAAACCATCGGAATATGGTGATATAAATAATGAATTAATAATTACTTTATAGAAATAACTTCATTGTATAGAATTATATGGACATATACTTATAATATATATATATATATGCACTATATGACCATATACATACTTTTCTTGGTTGGGAAGTCATTCTTTTGTGGAATTCCATGCTTGCTTTTGATCCGTCTGTCGACAGCTCAGAGCCCAGAGCAAGTCCGCAGCTCCGCAGCTCCGTTGCTCCGGTGAGGTCGATCCGATCGCGTTTGCGCCAGCCGCGCCGACGTCGACCGGTGAGGTCACCACCCTGGACTGCGGCATCGATCCGGTCCCTTGGAAGAGATGGGACCGGAGGAGTGGAGGAGTGGAGCAGAAAACGGGTTTTTTCACATGTTCAATGACACTCTCCCGTTTGGGCTCCTGGCCCACTCTCCCTGGCCCACTCGTGCGTGGGTTTTTTGGTGATTTTTGGGGTCCAACATGGTCCGTTCCTACCTTCTGAGGTGGTGGGACAGGAGCTTTAGGGTGTGTCAAAGGGTGTTTGTTGTTTCGCATGCGTTCAAATGCTGTAATCAACGTTGGATCACTGCCACAGTCATCGGTCGGATTGTCGTGGCTTTTCATGTTACCTGCCAAGATTCAACTCCATGTGGATGCTCCATAATATAGTCACTGTCGATCTCCTTGGTCACCAGTGACACGTCATCCACGAGCTTCAGATCTTCCCCTGAGTTGACGGAAGGGTTCACTTTCGTAGGGACACATATATGATGGAAAAAGAGGGTTTGGGACCATTCAGAAGTTCATAAGGTTTGTTTTTGTTCCCGATCTCTTGACTGCATGCTCTGGATGGCTTTTTTGTGGGCTTCCGTGGGGGAACCCCAAGCAATCAATGTGGAGAACCGCTACTTGTGGACAAGTAAAAACGCCACTTCGTTTTTGTTGAATCGCAATTTCATAGTTACATACCATGTAGAACAAGAACGCTTATTCTTCGGGTGCCTTTAAGAACATGGTGCAATTCGGGACCTGTGCTCCGCCCGGACACGGTCCGGGACGGTGCTCCGCCCGGCAGGCGCAGAGCATCAGAGCTCCAGTAGGTGGTTCTAATCACAGAACTTGAGTTCTCTGCAGATGTCAGGAATAGATGTTAACTCCTCCTCTTCAGGCTTGTGAGGCCATTCTTGACATGCAGGGAGCATTGGAGAAGAGGTTCTTGGCCATTGCAGAGCTGCAGCAACGCAGCAGAGAAACTAGCCCGATATCGCTCTCTGGTGGAGCATTGTCCAGTTGGATGTAGTCGTCGGGGCCTATGCTGCAGAGCAGCATTGTCCAGTTGGATGAAGAGCAAAAGTCCAGATCGTGGGGTGTGACACCGCAGAGAAAAGCGTTTACTTTTGTGACACCGCCGAAGCATGTGGTGACACCGGCTTGCTTCCAGATTCTCCGTCTCGCGGCCGCCACGGCCCTCCCAGAAACGAGGATCATGCTGCATCGGCAGCTGGTCGATTCGTCAAGGAGGACTTACCACACGTCTTCCTTACTGAGTGGAGTGAGGCTAATGTCCGCTATTTCCTGGTCGACTGTCGCAAGAAGTTCAGAGGCACCTGATTGGTCGCATGAAGAATGTCACCAGTAGAGGAGTGAATGCCGGTGCCGAATGTTGCTCATCAGAGGGGTGTTGGAGGTGCAGCATGAAAGCCCAATGAAAGGCCTTTGAACGAATTTAAAAACAATGAACGGCGATTTGCAAACGCTCACCTCCTTGGACAGCTCTATACATGTTTGTGATTACCATTATTCTTACATTATATGGTGGTGCCCCAATAGATAGAAGAAACGGTGTCCAATACATTTTGAAAGGGGTTTTACTTCTATATCTATTTATTTGGGGGTCTATATATAACTATCTATGTATATATATATATACTATATTTATACAATGTTTCTGAGCAGATGGCACAAACCAAGCCCTACATGTCTCAGCAAACTTGGGGCCCCTTGTGCCATCTGACACTGTAGGTTTTTCAATGCTTAGCTAACTGGTGAAGATCCCTCAAATGATATAGACTCATCCTTTCAACAAATCCAGGCCTTTGGGTTTGTGTGGTGTGACCGGAACTCGGCCTCGTCCATGCAGTCACCGAGTGGCCAGCAGCTGAAGCCCGAAGCGGCCGAGCTGAGGAGATGAGAGACAAGTTTGAAGGTGGTGTGATGGGGAGTGATGGATGCATCTATTGCATCCCCTTGTGCCTCGCCGATTGTGCCATGAGCGAGGCAGTGGGGGTTTGGATTGTGCCATGCGCTGTGGATGGGTTTGGCAACACGGAACAAACGCGAGCACTGAGGAGCATGCGCAGGTCCATGGGTTCATATCAGGTTTTTGCGACAAGCGGACCATGGTTTGAAACCACGGCCGCCCTATAGTCTTTGAAATGAATGGTGGTTGGAAACTTCACGGAATGTTCAACAAAAGCTATCAGCAGGTGAGTGTTGTTCGACTTGCTTCGCCCCCTTGTCGTCGTAGCCTTGAGTGATGACAGATGATGTGAGACTTGCCAGTTGGGCTGAGGTGAGGGACGGTCAAAGGCAATGAATTTCTCGGCGTTTAGAGAAACAATATTAATTAAGCACTTATTGTCATAGACACAATGCGTGGCATTGATGAACATTGCATGGTGGTGATTCCTTTTTGGGACACCCAGAGGCAACCTGGTTGTTCGGTTCTTTTCCCTTATAGGCCTCCAGATCCTTTTACCCACACCAATGTCTTGCTTCAAAAACAACAAACGTTCACTTTTGGCGTTGCATCCCAGGCGCGCGAAGGACGTGGTGAAGATCATTCCATCTCCTGCTGCTGAGAGCTGAATGCTCTTTTTGACCTGAACATGTGAGAAAGCTCACATCGGCTAGTATTTAAAAATAGATGTTCAACTTCTTTGAACCTTTAAATGTTTAATTTATTAAGAACTTTGGTGTGTTTGAATGCTGGCCCCGTCATCCCCACAGTCCCACAAGTGACAAAATACGTAGTTGTGAATAACACATGACATTCATACCGGTCCCTACCCCCGGGCCCCACCATTCGCTACTTCGTGGATGGTCATGGAAGATGCTTGGCATTCGACCATCATCGACCCCAAGAAAGAGCGACAGACTGAGCAGCGAGCTCCGCTCCTGTCGTAGCGGCTCAACACGCTGGACACCGTGGGTGGTCGCTGCGTGTTCATCAGACGGCGACGAAAAGAGGGATTTGTGCTTGCCGTGGGATCTCCCAGACAAAGCATAACAATGCAGAACAGAAAGTGATAGACCAGACCAGCCCCCATGACTGCAGTCGAGATTTATATATATAGAGAGAGTTTTATCCTTTTGTTTGCACGTTTTGGCAGTTTCTAGCCTTTCTAGCTAGACTTTTCGGGAACATGATTCTTTTTGGACTGGTTCCTGAGGAACATATCAAGAGCAGAACATATCAAGAGGAGATCCCTTTATCAGATGCAACATATTGGACACATATATAACTATTATGGATGCGATGTGGTTGTTTTGCGCTCTATCAAATAGGTCAGAGTTGAGGGGGAAAATTCAATGATTTTCCTGAATAGGAACATTCTGAGAGCCGTGGTTTTGGTGCAAGGCTGTACTTGAAAACCGTTGCCGATTCAGCAAGAACCCACACTCCATATATGGCATAGTTGTATACATACATTGGGGTGGTTTCAGGGGTCCCATGAAGGCATATATACCCGTATATATACCGTACTTGACCACTGACCTCCTATCATCCTGAATGAGCCTCCAATGTTTCTGGAACATAGAGATTCCAGTGCCAAAGTCTTTTTGCATCTTTAAGTCTTTTTCTTTGTTGTGTCTTGCTTCAATCTTGATTTACATCGTGGTAGCCTTTGTGATCCCAGAGAGTCGGAGAGGCCCCAGAGGCCTTCTTCCCGCCCCGGTGGCGTGGAACGAGCAGCTGGCAAGGTCCAACTCCTTCGCAGAGGTGTCCTTGGCAATGGGCTGCACTCCTGCCTTGTGCGTCGGAGTGCTCATATTGGGTCGATGTGGTCCGAAGAAGCACTCCTGTTTGTCCCTCGAAGCACGCCAGTCGTTTTCTTAACAACATTTTAACACACCTTCAAAGGCTTGGAAGGACCTTCACCTTGTTGGAACCTGTTTCTGGCACATTTAAGCTGGGGTTGTGACCACCGAAAGACCGCAGGGCGGAAGATAGTCAGCAAAGGCAGGTGGAAAAACAATGAAGAACCTCAGATCAGGACAACAGACCACTGAATTGGACATGTACGCATTTCAGAGCGAGACTCTCCGGAGTTGTTTCACTAGACGTGCGAGAAGAATCAACACAATCAATTATGACTAAACCCTTGACCCCTGCATTTAGCATCATTTGGCAACATCACGCTTGAACTTTCGTTGTTGGCAGTTTCATCAGATGTTTGTCTAGCTTGACCGACCACCAATGTCAAAGAAACTCCTGCAGAGTCGCAGGTATCTCAGATGACGAGCCCCCTCTCAGGCGGAGTCGCAGCAGCAGCTCAGTCAGGCATCAGAAAGCTTAGACGGGAGCCCGAGCGGCGACACCGCCGGTGACGATGACACAGGGTAATACCAATACAGTAAGGGGTCTCAGTTTGAATCAAAACGAAGCATCTCATGTTGAGTCAAAATTTATCTAAACTATAAACATTGAATCTAAGACTCTTGTTAGTGCTCTATCTCCATGCCTTGGTAAACGAGCCAAGTTCTAATGGCAACTACAGTGTTCGAGGTGAGTTTTGAGACCCTAGTGACTTAGCCAACGAATTGATGCCTGCACAAAGCAGTGATGGGAGACTAAGCTGGCGGTTTTTGCCATGTGCTGTGCTGTGAGGCCGAACGAATGGAGTGCTTCCTTTCATGGTGCGACTCCAGCCATCGAGAAGCGGTGCTTTCCAAGCTCACAGTGGTGGTTCCAGCATGGTGTTGCGTGCATGCATGACTTATACAAAGCGTTGTTGTGGTTTCTTGTCACGCCACTTCCCTAAAGTGAACCTTCAAATTCAAACCCTGAAAATCCGTGCCTTCTTTTTGTTCCGGGAACCTGCACCTCATTGGGGGGAGGCTGTGCAGCTTGCGCTTGGCCGCCTTATAGCGGGTCCACGGGAGTGTCTGCGACTTCTATCATCGGTGCGGATTGGATGGCGGCGGACGTGAGTTGTTCTTCTCGCGATGTTCGTTGCTACTCGTGTTTCCGGTTGAGCCACTGGCCCAAAGAAAAAGGAACCTTCTGAGACACATCGCCATGGGAAAGGTTCACGGGAGTTTGGCGCGTGCCGGTAAGGTGAAGAACCAGACGCCCAAGGCGAGGATTCTCATCACGACCGAAAAGTCGATTCAAAATGGGTGGGGGCTGCCCTCAATGAGAACCAGGCTATATAGGTGGGCCCTTCAATGAGGGCAGGCCGTGAAGATCTGTTTTTATTGATGTTGATACTGATATTTATTGATGTTGATACAGTTGATACATGTTGATACTAACCGCATCTAACTGCCATCTCAATGGGGGCTAGCGTGCACTGCGCGGATGAAAGATGTTCCCGGCCACAACCACTGCTGGTTGAATGGCGTTGACCGGAAAGAACAACCACATTGTGCACTGAGAAGTCTACACCTTTGACATCATTTGACTACCTTGCTCCCTTGAAGACTGCGAGATGAGTGCCGGTGGCACTTCAACAGACACGGCAAATGCTGAAACAGTATCAGATGAGCAACAGAACCCATCAGCAACATCCCAACAATGACACAAGGATCTTCATCCATTCAGTTTTTGCACCAAGACCATCGCAGCAGACTATATCCGAGTAGATGGCACCAGTGCATCCGCCCACCCGTGCTCGGCCGGCCGCACCGTGGCCACGACCGGTCGCCACGACCCAACGCACGCGCAGGTGGCCAAGGCTGAGAAGAAGAAGAAGCTGACGGGCCGGGCAAAGAAGCGCTTCGTGTACAACCGCCGCTTCGCGCCTTTGGTGTGAAAGAAGATGCGTACAGTCGACATGCGAAGGAGCCCTGTTTTTGAACATGTTGACATGTTGATCAGCATTTTTTGTGCGAGTTGGCACTGCAAAACAAAGGGTTACTCAGGGCTTTGGGGCTGGGAAATTCATGGGGAGGAGAGGGTGAAGAACATGCGTGCATAGAGGAATGTGGAAGGCTTTGCACCATGGACTGGGAGCGACGGAGCATCTAGGCTTCGCAGATATGATAGTTTCCAGTTTCCTCTAAATCCAACGTGATTATACAAAGCCAGAAGAATCTTGGCACTTGGTTTCCCAAGCTCCAGATGGACCTTATGATTAGAATCAATGACCCAATGTTTTTTGAAGGAAGATTAGGAGCGCCCCTGGAGGATTCTTCTTTAGCTGTCTTTGGTCCACCCGTCTTTCCCCAGCTGCGTCCGTCTCTAGCGGCTTCGACCGACTCGCCCGAGGTGAGTGTGGTGAAGAGCGGCCCAAAGAGGGGACCGAACTCCAACGCTGGCAAGTGAGATCGAACTTCGGGTCCTCCGAACGTGTCACTCTCGGGACCGGTGCGAGTTGCCTCGGACTGCCCTCCGGGGCGCGAGGTCCGTGAACGTCTGGCAGTGGCTGTGGAGAAATGGAGATGGATCACATGGAAGTGCCTGAAGGGACCTGCAGCACCCGACTCTCCTGACTCTCCGACTATATAGTGGCTTTTGGAGACCTAAAAGTGGCAAGACCTGTTGGATCTGTTGGAAGATGTTGTTTTATATACATTTATCATATATATATATATGATTATATATACATATATAAGTATACATATATCATATATGTGTGTGACCAGCATTGATGGATGGACTGATGGACTCGGAGTCGTTTTTTGGGGGGCCAAAGTCACTATAGAAGTGCAACGTCCAAGAACCATGGAACTGTGGAATCACCCATGGGCAAAGCAAGATCTCTACTCCCGTGATGTTCCATGTTTGCTCAGTAAATGCAGTGGTTTCAGAGTAGATGGCGCAATCCTCAAGTTTGTTTGTTTTTTTTTTTTAAATGGGCCTCCATTGACAATACATTTTGGGGTTTGTGCCATCTCTCAAACCCCTGTAGGTATCTCTACCAGATCCCCAGATTTAACCTCTTGGAAGGTTCAGATAGTAGACCAGTCCCCCCAGCCAGGGACAAGGCGTCTCACGGGTTTGTCCCGGTACCCGCAACAGTCGGTAAGATGGAAAGGCCTGCAACCATCTGGGTGTTTGGGACATAAGCATCGCTACGTTCGTAGCTTCTTGGAACCGAGTAGTAATGCACCTTGTTACTCGTAGCGATGCACCTTGTTACTAGTAGCTTCTTTGTTACTAACGCGATATACCCAACCCGTATCTCAAGAGCCACAGCTGATTTGACCCAGGTACCGCTGCAGTGGCGATTCGACCTCCCCGAAGGTCTGCGATGAGCGGGAGCGTCGAATCCCCGAGTGGCCCGGGTGCTCACAGAGCACTGGAGGACTTGGACCAGAGGAATTTGTGGATGATGAAGGCACATATAATATATGTTACAAATGTTACAAATATATACACTTAGAATATACTAGATATATCTGGATATAAGTTTACATTATACACAATAGACAAGAACATTCATATAGTGGTTTGAATCTGGTGAATAATATGTTTATATCCAATGTTGTTAGCATTATATATATATAATGATATCATGTATGAATAATCCATACCTATGAGATCGCAGCCATTTCTGGAGTCGGACTGAACACCGAACTCCCGAGGAGTTCGGAATGAAGACCGACCAAAGCAACAGAGACCAAGAAGCGATTGAGAGACC